ACTACTACTACTACTACTACTACTACCTACTACTACTACCTACTACTACTACTACCTACTACTACTACCTACTACTACTAATACCTACTACCTACTACCTACTACCTACTACCTACTACTACTACTACTACGACGACTACTACTACTACTACTACTACTACTACTACTACTAACTACTTTGAGTAAAGCAGACATTGTCGGCTCCATCACTGAAACATGCCGTTGACTTTCAAAATCGAGGCAAAACATTTTGGGGCAGCCAAACACCGCTTCGAGAGTCTGCAGAAGCCAATGGGTAGGCTTGTGGAGATGCTTTGCTGTGAGCGAGCAGGTAAGGTTAATCACTTGGCTTAGCTTAGACCCAGGGAGGTTCTACAAAGTAATCTTCAGTAGTCCTTCCACTTGGGGGCCAGATTTGAAAGGTGACCTGAGAACCTTCTATTTGACACTAAAGACGGGTCTGTGGACGACTTCACCAGCTGCAATGAACCGCAAACTTCACCAGCTTAGGTTGAAGGCAAGGCTGCACTCGCTTTCTTGGAGCACTGGAATGTGGAAGAAGCTTTGTTGCTTGTTTCTGACATGCTGTGATTTGGGTTCTTCAAGCCCCATACATCTGAACCAAATCGTGTTTGACGATCCTCAGCACGCTAGCAGCATTGGCCGTTGCGCATGATTAATCTTTTCTCGTTACGAGCATAGCGGATTTTGATAGCTTTCAGCCCACAGACTTGATGTATGCGCTTGACGCGTGGCTTGCTTGATACGGAAGGGAAGTGGCCTATAGTCTACAGGTGGCCTTTTCTTATGCTCCAATTTGTTCAAAGACCTTCACATTGATATACTGAACTGAGGAGGTTCTATAATTAAGAAGAACATTGGCTACATGTTTAACCGTGGCCACCTGTTCGATACACCTGGCACATATACTACTCCACTTTTCTCTTGGAAACATTGAATCTTTCATGAACTTGTTTCACAATGTCATGCTCTGAGCCAGAACCACTTGCTTGCAAACCAGCTAAGGATGGCCCCAGTGATGTTACTTCACAGGGGGAGGAGCTTCACTGCCGCAGTGCACCATGAGCATTATTCCTTACATCAAACATTGAAACCACCTGCTACAGGATGAACTGGCTATCTGTGGCTACACATACCCTTGACACACCCTTCTTTTGGAGTGCGCGCGCACCTGGCGAATGCTTTGAGGTTAGACCTTAAAGAGGACAAAATGCCAGGTCATTCTTGGATTCTGTCAAAATTGGCGGGACAATGGGGCATTGACAAGGTTTTTCATCAAATATTGAACTCCGGGAGCGAAAGCTGTGCAGGCCAAATGCGTGTGACAGTGCGTCCGAGTTCATTTGCCGTCAGCTTGCATATTTTTTCTAGCAGCAATGTGGAAAGGCTGCTTTCTTGCTTTTATCATGATTGGGTGTTGATACTGCGTCAGTTGGTGTTGGTGATGGTTGGTTGACAAATATTTCAGACTGACTAAATTGGTTCACTTGTCAAGAGAGAACCAGTCAAGTGAGGTTTGCGAAGAGTGTTTCGATGAGTGGAACACAACGTGAGGATGTCGGTGTGGAAACTTTGTCATGAGGAGCTTCGTGTGGCTCAGATGGGGGGCGTTGAACTGCAGGATGCCTTTGACATAGCCCACAACGAATGGTTTGTAGGACTGCTAATCAAGAGAACAATTCCCATGTATGAGCAAGGCTGTAGGAGAAAGACTGGGGGTGTTGACTTAGGTTCGTGTGTGTGTGGACCACTTGGCGGATTTCCCCCACCCACTCTTTATGTCTTTGAGTGCTGTGGTGCTCTCACATCATTGCGCCAAAAAACAGAGGGCCCAACTATCCACCCGCAAGGACGGGAGAACCTCAAGACGATTGAGCAGGGGTAGGATTGAAGCAAGAGATAGGAAGAGCTCCAGCACAGAGGACGGAACCTCAAGAGAACACACGAAGGTGATCGACGCCCTACTTCGTTCATTTAGGCCACTCCCTAGCCATCCTGAGCCTGAGTTCCTTGCCAGCAGTAGTGACTTGAGGACACCTGGCCCATTTAAGCCGCTTACAGATTATCGGTTGTGGTGGACTGACCAGATATGAATGTAGGGATTCAGAGATTTGCTCATGGTCACGGTTTAGAGATTCATGGTCCATTGGTGTCCCAACTCCCATGCATTGAGTTTGCTCATAGATCATAGATCCATTGTGTCCTACTCCCATAGGGTTTTTTCTCCAGTGAGCCGCCCAGGTCCCCGCCATGATGGTGGCGTGGCTGCTGCTGCTGCTGGGGCTGGGCTGGGCTATAGTATAGAACCTTGTTGAACTATCTTGAATACAACCAAGAAAAAACCTCCTCGCGCTTGTGCCATCTACTCTGAAACTACTACTGTCGCAAGTCGCAAGAAATATTTTCAAACAAGCACCCTGGAGACATTGTGTAAACCCTTGCCGTTGATTTTTCGCGTTGAAAGTACCAAAGCAGCTGTTCTTTTGAGGGCTTCAATTCTTGGTTGCAGATGGGGGCTACGTTGATCTGAGAGAGTGTGCACTTTCCCAGTTGATGTGGAGGCTGACAATGATGTTTGTTCGCAGCGATGAATTGAAACCAATTCCTGCACTTGAGGCGTTTGTGCTGACCTGATTGGTTGAGCCTTGCACTCTAGGAGATGTAGTATAGAGGAAGCTTGTTTGATAAACAACAGTTTCATTGTTTCCTTGGACTGCCTTCTTGCGTCCCCGACGGGTCCACTTTGGATTTGTCCCCCTAGCCAGTTCCGCATCTATTGGTGGATGCCCTAATTATTTTTCAATTTGTTGAGGTTTGGAAGGGCATTCTCCCATATTCCCCGCTCCGATGCCAGCTTCGATGGTCTCTCCCACGGCCTCGATGGGTCCCGCTGCCGTCTTTGAATCCAGAACCCATCGCTTCAGGCGATTCGCGTGCCAAGTTTATCAAGTTTCCTGGGACGACGTTTGCAGTCGCCTGGAGTTCGATTCACCGACATTTGGTCGGCGTGCGAAGTGGTTGGATCGGATTGATTTTTTTGGATCCATGCGAAGTGTTTGCGAACCAAGTTTCAGCTCTTGGTGTTCTGATCCTTTGAAACCCCAAAAATCAAACGAGCCTCTCGATGGCCTTTGGAAGGCCCAGTCAAACGATTGATTGCACATGGTTGCACCACTTACAAGACATACTTATTCAGATGGTAATTATTTATTGTATAGTTGATCGAGTTCTAGCACCCCGTCTTAGCAGACATTTAGATTGGTTTCAATGGGTTTGTGGGCAGGCTGGCTGAACCATGAGTTGGGACTTGTACAGTATGCATTGTGGCCGTCATAATTAGTTGTTTTCTCATTCGCTGTGTGTCATGCCCTTTTAAGTGCGTGCCTGCTTAGCAGGGGCGCATGAGTTAGGACACATCCCCTGGAAACTCCTGACTAGCTTTTGGCGACCACAAATCCTAAGTCATCATTCCCTAGTATGTCCAAAATCCACTCGAACCCACTATTTTGATTCCTGTTAATTTCAAATGCAGCTGTGGCCGAGAGTACCGTCAAACAGTCTTTGTTTTTTTTGGTCCGTTCATCCGCCAACGACAGGTTTGTTCCCCACCGATGGCGCGCCCCTCGAGCGCACCATTTTGACACGGACGACATCATGAAGGAATGGTCGGTTGGGTGGGTTTGGGGTTGGTGTGAAGATGTGTGAAGAACAAAACGCCTGGAGGACGCAGGAGGTGTGAAGCTGTGCGATCTTCCATGTCCGCGGAAATCAGTGAGTGGAGGTTCTCTCACTCACATGTTTGCGTATGCCACTTGAGAAGCCATTATACAGGGGAGCCCGGGGGAGCCCCTCGTCAGTGACGGCACGAGAATGTTGGGACATGTGAGGCGCCCACGACAAGCACTGAGCACTGGTCGTGGTGGTTTGTCCATTGTGTTTCCTCGGGAGGACAGGATCAACAATTCCCACATCAACTGCGGTCACCTGCAAACCTATAGGCACTTTCAACAGTTCATTGTTGTCATGCACCTTTGAAATTGGTTGCTCAGAAACGTGAATCAATCATACTCCATCATACTCCCCAGGATTGCCTACAAACGATTCATGATTTGCCGAAACTCCCCATGTTTCGATGCTATCCTTTGGTGGGAATCACAGTAGCTGGCTTTGAGTTCCAGCTTTCAACCTACACTATCCGCTGCTCCGTGTGGAGCTGCAGCCCATGCGGACCCCGCCATGCGGACGCGCGGACGCCTTCTCCGCTGCAGGAGATTCCGATGCCTGAGAGCCCAATCGACTCCTGCAAGCCGGTCCCTGGGACGAAGAAGTTCGAACGAGTTCGGGTCGGGTCGGTGACGTCGGGTCGGGTCGGGTCGTTGGGCCGCTGGCACTAGATGGCCATTCAGATTGGAGGTGCTTATTTATGGATATGTAACGTGTATGAGGATAAGGGGGTCTCACACATTGGGGGCCGTCCAAATCAACGGATTTTCTTCCCACCCTGCACCACTCAAAAGGGCGAGGATTAAAATACCAAAGCCACATGAGGTGCCGAAATTGCCAACGGTGATAGTTGGGAAGAACTTCACAGCTGAAAAGTCGCCTAGGAATCTTGAGCAGAACCCTTTAGCAGTACGGCCAGGAGCCCCTAGTAGCTTCTTTTTCCTAGTAGTAAGGCCAGGAGCCCCTAGTAGCGTAGTAAGGCCAGGAGCCCCTAGTAGCGTCCTTGCTCCTACTATGACCCGTGTCAAGAATTGGAACAGAACTCCATGACAAAAGTGTTTCCCTTTTCTCTATGCCAAACCAAACTAAAACCATGTGAGAATCGGCACCAGAAGTCAGGCTTGAGCGGTCTACCTAACACACATGTGTTTGTATTATTTGTTTTGGTGGCATTTTGGCTTTGAGAAATCAAGGACGGAAATCTGAAGCAGACTGCATCTAGTTGTTATATAGGCACTGAGATGCACTGAGGCTTCTATTTCTGTTCCAAAGGGACGGACGACGGCCAGCAGACCCCAACCCCGCCCTAAATGTTGGAGGTGGTATAGGAACCAGTGTTTGAACACATATTTCAGGTTCTATTGGACGAACCGTGGGAGTGTACCGGGCTGGCGCCTTTTCACCGAACCGGACCCGAGAAGACTCGACAGCGGTGCCACTGGTCGAATGAGTCCAACTCCTTGAACTCGGTCAAGTTGGCCACGCGGCACGGAACTACTTGGGGCACGGAGTTGGCTGACAAAGCCCACCTACAAGGTAGTGAACCGCTTCGGTCATACAAGAACATGTCCTGGATTCCAGGGTTTTTATGAGTTACCACTTGGAAGTCGGATTGAATCACTTGCTGTTCCCATGTTCCCCCCGAGAGTAATTTGAATCATTTGAGCTCTAAAACCGATCCCTGTTCGATTTCGACCACCCGGGCTGCTTTGGACGCCGCAAAAAAAGAACCTTCGAGTCCGTCCGAACAGCGGCGTTAAAAAAAGACATATGGTCAAAGACCTCTGGCGAACGTCCATCTAGCATCCTTTACTAGAAGCGCTTTGCTTCTTGAGCTGCGATCAAACCCAGGAGAAGAAAGGCATCAAAATCCTGCATGACGTGGGGGTACTAAGGGTTGGCGGTGCTGGGGAAAAGAGAAACCATGAGAAACATGTGGTGTTCCGGCGTGAGAGTCTTCTCGATCTTCCTGAGAACCTGAGAATTGAAACACCTGAGGTATAATATATAATATATCAGGTATTGAAGGAAGAGATTCAACTGCGCTTCAATGAAAACAGCTACTTAGGTGCTTCGACCTTGTGTCAATTGCTGATGGGCATTGCCCCGAAGATGTGTGACCGGACCGTGTGACCAGGATTCAATGGTGTGCCTTCCCAAAAGCAAGTCAACGCCGGACCGGTCCCACGCAACAATTAATAGCGGGTTTTATTATGTTACTTTTTCATACTTTTTCTCGGTGTTCTTCACCACTTCGAACATCGGAGACCAAATCAAGTGACGACAGGAGAAACAGCATGAAACAACTCATCAAGTTTGTTTGTGTGCCCCTCCCCCCAACAATCATTGAAGTGGAAAACGAGCTGTTGGTAGAGGACAAATTAGGAAAACAGTCTTCCAAGGTTTGTTGGATGGAGGGTAACTTAAAGTATTGCGTTGGGCTGCAGAAGAGTTTCGTTCGTCTCTCGTGTCGTTGGTCTTTCAACTTCCGTGCTGGAAACCTGCAGCATGCCGCCTGGAGGATTCTCCACCTTTATGTCTCTCCCTCCGCATGGAGGCTGACCAAGACCCCCTTGCAAAAAACGGTCTTGCAGGGGCCTACTACAACCCCCTGTTGTAGTGATTGGATCTCAGCTTTGTTTCTTTGAGATCTCAGCTGGCCCGCACCGGTCTGACGGTCTGACAGGCCAGCGTTTTGGTCCCAGAACTGGTGCCCAAGCTGGTGCTCTACATGGCGGGGATGTTTGGCGCGCTGGAAACACACCGCGATGTTTGGCGCGTTGGATCAGAGTGATTTACGTGATGATTCAGGGATTTGATGGGAGAGGATCGGAGATAATTCCGAATTTATGAATTTACAGTACCGATCACAAAGGTTTTATTTTGGTCTTCTTGAGTTTGGGAACCTCCAGCATTGACATGTACAATGGTGTGAGCTGAATTCACGTGAGGGGACCTCAAGGAATGTGTGCAACATGGCAAAACATCATACTAGCATCAGAATTTGCAGAGCTCAGTCTGGGAGATTTGCCTGCCGTTTTGAGACACACCCATAGTCTCTAATCAGATGAATCTGAAGGCTTCCTGTTTTGGTGTCGTGTGGGTTTTTGCCGGTGGGTTCCGGTCAAGGCCATCCAGGCATTGCTTCTGATTCCGGTGATCCTCTTCGGATGCTTGGGCTTCTGCTGGGGTACGGGGCCCTGGTCAGACCAAGCTGATGACCTGGACCAAGACAGTCGGGAGGATTGTTGTATGACATTTCGTTCAACATGTTTGGGGCGCTTTTGGTCCTGCGATGTTTCTATATGGCATAGTTGTCTTATTTCGTCTTGGATTTCCACTTCCAAGCACTGCAAAACGAGTCCAGGGAGGAGCCTGGCATTTGCAAGCCATGGGCGCAATATTTGGTCATAACATAGGCTGCTGAACAGGCTCGCTGCTAGAAACTATGTTAAGAGGATTCAGCCCGGGCCACGGGAATTAGCATGCACTCTCTTTTGTTGATCATTCAATAAACCTTTGCCAGGTATCATTACTCCTCTCCTCAAGTGAGCAGTAGTGAGCCACACCAAGGTCACAAAACCACAACACATGAGCACCGTTGAGAGAGCCCGTAGATATGTGATAGAATGTGTTAGCGGAACGGGCCAGCAGACTGTGCAGCGAATCCCGCTTAAGATGCTTCGGGCTACGTTGGGCACATTGTGTTCCAACGGTTTGGATGGAGTCTTTGTGGTGGGTTGAGTTGCTTGAAGGTATGGGACATGAGATATCGCCAGTTATCGGCTCAGGCAAAGACCTCTTCAACAAGTTGGGTCAAGGCCGGCTCGCTGACTTGCAAGCACTGGACCGCGGAAGATGGAGGGGATTCCCTTGAACAACAGCTGACAGACAAAACGCAAAACCAGAGAAGTACCATCTGACTGAAGTTGTTTTTTCATACACACCTGCGGGGCAGCTCTTTTGCTCATGGAGCTCATGCAGCTCACCTTCCTCGTGTTGTTTCTTTTGTTTTCTGGCCTTTAACATTCCTGAACTACACCCAGTGAGAGAATTAAAGAACCTCATGTTGAGGGATTTAAGGGATTTGAGGGACCACTGCAAGACTTGTTCCTCGAAAGAGGCGGCACTTGAATATATCGTCCTCACCTCCTACACTCCCTTGCGCCATGAAAGACAGAATCAGAGTTGGAACCTCCAACAGATATGACACTTGGCAATACTTGGCAGGCAGGCAGGCAAAACCGTATGCAAGAAACACATCGTAAGTATGGGAGTTGTGCTTGACAACTTAAAGTGTTGAGACTTGCCGGAGGGGACACTGGCAGTAGGCGTCAGATCAGTGGCGAAACGTCGCGGACTGCTCAGGGCACAAGTTAAAGAGCGACATAAGATGATGCTTCTCATAAGTCAGGGACACTGTCAAAACACGATGCTGCCCATCACTGATCACCACCTGTACACAGCAGCGTCCATAGCTCGCTTGGTCACAGCATGTGATAGAGTTTGCACACCGGAACGCAGACATTGCAAGACACGCATTTGACAAAAGGTTAAGGTTAATTATTCTAAGATACCGGGGAGCGCCCAACAAAAACACAGGTCTCGGTCAAAGCCTAGACACGCCCGAAAACTGCCACGTCCGACCCCCGGTGGTGCAGTTGTCGATGCCAGATCCGAGTTTGGAGGCACTCGTCGACAGCACGACTTGACCAACAACCACCCAATCACTCCAACGACATCCAACGATCCGTATATGGGGATGGGTCAACACCTTGGAACCCTGGTACACCATGTAGCGAGTTCGACGAACACCAGAGAGGTCAACCGGTCCGTCTGGTTGTCACCCACAGCCATACCAGATCTCAGTCTTCCAGGCTACGGGCAGCTGGAGGCGGCTCAACCAAGGGTCACCAACGCGGAGATGATGACGGTCACGCCCGAGGTCGGGTCGAATCGGCGGTGGTTGAAGATGGTTGAAGCATGTTTCTAACATGCGAGGGGCCCGGGATGAGCAGGTTTCTAATATGTTTCTCATGTTTAAGAATCAGCCATACATGAGCTAAGCCTTGACCGAAGAAGCTTGGCGAAGATCACTGTGCCATGTGAGGCGCCGCCAGCGCCCACGCAACCGGCCCGGTGCCCGAAGAGAACTGTTTAGGGTTCAGAACAGCGAGTTCAATTGGTTTAAGGATGTATTAAGTGTTTAAAGAGCTTTCTAGAATTGGATAGATTTTGTGAGGTTGCAACAGATCCAATACATTCCTTTCAACTATCAAGCCATGGTTTGACGGGTTGAAATGCTTGAAAGGAGGGGTATCGAGACCTCCAGAGCCACCAGAGCAAAACACTTGAAGAATTTGAGCCATCAGAGTCTTAGAGTCTCAGGGCAAGATGTGCCTTTCAACTTAAAGGGACTTGCGATCACCGGGGATCACGGGGGCGCGGTATGTGATTAGACAAGGATGCAGAGAAACTTGATGTGAAGGACCCTGGAGTTATGTTGAGTTATTTTTACATCTTTTGCTGGGTGGGGATTATGAAGAGAGAAGGCCTTGCTGAACATCAGGATTTGATTTGAAGACCAGTGGGTGAGTGGACTGGAAAGCTTCATGCGGCACAGATGTGGAAAAGAGTAAGAGCCCTAAAGATGATCGTGCCTTCGTCGGTTTCGAGCAGGGACACTGGCTTTCTTTGTGGGTTTGATTCTTTGGTGTTGTGGTGGGGGCAGGCCCGAGATCACACGACGATGTGAGCAGATGTTAGCAGAATCCCAGTCAAAGCAGATTGAACTCCTCCCTGACTTGGAACCATTGGCACATTTAGAAGTTACTTCCTTTGGACATCTTTGGGCCTCAAGAGTGCCACAAGCAGAGGTCCTTTCTCCGAAGGTCTTTCAAGGTCAGGGCCCATGACTTTGTTTGTATAATCATGTATATATATATATAACCCATTTGTGTCCCACGATTGGATCCTCCTTGGATGCTGCTGCTACCTGCTTTGTATAATGCAGGTTTATGTAATACATATAATTATGTGTTGCTGTTACTCTCCGGTCGAGCAGGGGGTTCAACTTTGTGTGACAGGCAGGGTCCAGACAGGTATGATTTGAAGGATGGGGTCGAGGCCACAAAAGAAACCGCTGAGGAGAGGCATAGGTGCTACAAAATACCACCTGTACACACCATAATATGATGTTATCATAAAGCTTGACCTCCCACCCAAAAAAGATTTGACATACAGTACATTTACATGGCCGGTGCTTGCTTCTGTTCTGTTGTTTCCTTGTCATCCGAGGCGAGCACCGCATAAGCCGCTCGGACGTTTGATCCAGGGAGCACGGCATGGGACGGCGACGAACCCTGTGGAACCAGGTGTGGAACCCACCTCACCTGCTAATGTTGGCGATCTTCAAAAGAGCAGAAATGATAGAAATGCTTCACCTGCCGTACCTTGCGGCACCTTATGTTCAGCACACAAACCGATTTGGTGTTTAACGAGAAGTGCAAGCTCTGAACACACATTCAAGCGCACAAAGCTGCAAACAAGTGCACTCAGGAAATATATATTATATATAGCTTTGTTCAGCTTCGGCTGGCACAGTTCTTTTCAAATTCCCACGTCCAATAAATCGAGCACGTAAATCGAGCATTTATTGACTCATTTGAAGACCCAGGCAAGTAATCATGAGCATTTGCAAGCCGCACGTGGACTGGCTTTAGGCTGGCTGTTTGACACCTGCTACAGCTGCCACCATGCTACCGTGGCAGCTAAGCCTGTGTTCGATCGCTTGGGTTGGGTAAGCTTGGCCACACGTCTCCAGTCTAGTCGTTCGTTCTTTGGGTGGCTTGGCCGACGTGAGTTCCACTCCGGTCGGGCATCCAAGAGAGGTTGAACAGGCCTATAGACCATCCCATATGTACCACACAGGGTCCTTTGTGGTCTCTCAACCTCTCTTGGATGGTTTGGATGATTTTGGGATGTGGAGTTCACCGAGCGCGTTACTAGGGGCCCCCTAGCTGATTTGGACCAGTCACCATGCAGCAGCGGCTTTCGATCAACCTGAGGCGGTTGTGCTGACCGGCACGGCACCACTGAGAGTGGCACGGCACTGCGCTGAGTGCCCCTCGATCCTTTTTAGGACCACGTTCCGTCCCAGAGGCTTACCAGTGCCCTTTGAGAAAATATACAACGGTCTCAAATGGGTTGTTTTTTGATTGGATTACACGACACAGCAACATCAACTTGTTATGTTTAAACCCTCAACTTCACGAACCAACAAGTTCTGCAATACCACGCACACCGACAGCTGTCCTCATTGCTTTGCCCTGATGAGCGCTGACTTGGACGATTCACAAGTTTTCCGGTGATCTTTTGAGTCCAACGGTTCACCAAACATGGTCGGGGCTGCCAGGCCGCAGTGATGAACAACCTGTTTCTTGTTTGTTGCAGCTTGAGCAAGCAATCAAAAACCATATGCCCAATGCCCTTTGTCGTTTTGTTGTTTAACCATGTTTAACCACTCCCACTCAGAAAAAAAGGAGACACTTAGTCAAGTGCAGATGCCATGTTCTAAATGGGGGGCGTTCCAATCAAAATTAACATGTATTTTTTGTTTTTGCGTGGCTCCGGCTCATTATTTTTACCGCATGTTGATATCTGAGATGTCGTAAGATTGAAATGTGGTGGAGGACCATCGGTATGTTGCGAGTCTTGGGATGATTTTGGGAAAGGTTCATTTTGCAGACCTACCATGTGCTGTGCTAAAATGATGGATAGGACACCAACAACAATGTCGTTTTGTATGCGGGACGCCTGAAGTGTCTTTCTCTTGCAGCATCACAGGATGAGTTTTCTCTCCTTGTTTGCTGGCGGTTGTCGGACGAAAATTGGGGCGAGCAATTTCCGCCTTGTACAGAAGGGCGTCGCTGCTTCGGCTGCTTCCCACAATTATCCAATTCCTTCACATGGAAATCCCGGTGGCCTCATTTTCGTGGGACTTGCTCGGTGGAGTCTGCTTTGATCACAATGGTTTCACGGCACCATGGGAGCAGCCGGTTCTGGCGGCACAACATCACCAGAGCGCAGCGAAGTTCCTGGCAGGTGGAGCGGTGAATCCATTGGTCCCAAATCGGGGGGAGTAGTTGTCGATAGTGGCCACGGACCACCCCGATCCCGAGGCAGAGATGACCAACCACATGAAAAGATAGAAAAATAGTAAGAGAAGAAACAAAGAAAGAAAAGACCCAGGTGTTGGAGATTGTTCCAGTTCTCTCAGTTCCTTGTTTTTTGGGGACTTCCACAATTGGAACGATTTCACAGCTTCTAAGCCAACGGTTGCATTCATTCAGTGCTTTCCCAAGCCCCCTTGTTGTTCTTTCTGGGTCTTGACCAGGTTCGTGCTTCTACCTGAGCCCCGAAGGCAGCAGGAAAGACAGCCTCCAGCATCCAGACCTTGCCCTGCCCTCCCGCCCTGCCCCTGATTTACAGCATGTGCTTAGCTGACCCGAGGTGAGGTCCGATCTGATCAGGTGACGAAGAGTCCGAATGCCAGGTGGGTGGGTGGCCGGGCCAGACCCTGCAGACCGTGACCGGCACTCGACGTTTAAAATGTGTGCGTGCAAGAGTGATAGGTCTGATAGGGTCATCGGATGGCGATTTTGAGCTTGAGGCTGCACTCCATTTTTGCTGATACCATTGAAGAGGGTGGCCCTCAACTTCCTCCTGTAGGGGCCTTGTTCGCATTTAGGGAACACTTACCAGCAACGTACACAAGTACAAGTAGCTTGAAGTTGTACAGAAGCCAATGAGCGTTGTGGAAAGAACTGAGGGGAGTCTTCAACCTCCCTGTAGGGCTGGGATGATAGTGAAAGACCCAAAGATTACTGTATCTGAAAGGGAGTCCATAAGTTCTTAGAAGTGTTCAACTAGCTCTCCCGGCAGTTTAGGAAGACCAGAGATATGTTGATAGATTGTCATATTGTATTCGTTAGTTGTTTCAACAAAAGAATTTACTTCAGAATGCATGTCCACAAGCGGCTACAACCTTAGATTTCCAAAACCGCTGACCAGAGCCATAATTGTCTTCATACAGTGCATTGGAACTTCATATGGTGGACATTATGAAAGGGCCGGCTGCGGCCGGCTTGTTCTTTTATTTGTGTAGATGATGATTCTACGAATTTATTGGCGTCATAACGGCAGGTCAACAATGATGGCAGAAATGGAGCATAATTTTATTGTAGAGAAGTGGATCCCCAGTTCACCACTGGACATGAGCCAAGCCAACAGAGAGGGTTTATGCTGTTGAATGTCTGTGCTTTTCACCACAGGTCCGTTGGACCGCAACCTGCATTGGGCTTGCCCGCCCACTTGGCCTCGCTTCTTCGCCACACCTTTCGGTTCAGGCACTGCATATATGTCTAAAAGCCAAGGGCCAGCCGATGAGGGCCCATTAGTTCAAGAGTCTCCCTCCACGACTTACCCTGGATCTGCCGAAGCCAGAGAGGATCTTCTCGACCAAAGGCAGCATCACAGAATTAGTGAGCAACTGTCACAAGCATGGCTCACATCTGCTTTACAAAAAGCAGTTCGGTCCGCCTCAGCAAAACGAAACAGCCCAGTCGACGACTAACCAACGTCGACTCCATCGGAGTCGAACGACCGAGTCTCGCTCAGTCCATCAGTCGCCTGACCCGCGGGAAGGCGCCCAGAGTGGGACATACTGCGCTCCGCGGGGCTGCTCCGCAGGGGAGGTCTTGCTGGAGACCTGGTGATGGGAGTGTTGAGATATCAAATCAATAAGTTATAATCAGATATGAACAGATATTATAAACAAAAACAATTATTATCAGATATTTGGTGGGAGTGGGATGAGCGGTTTGCTTTTTTAATTGTAAAACACTTGACACTGGAGGCTCATGTGATGGGATAGGAAGCAAGATGTTTAGGTCTTGGAAGACGATCCCTGAACATTGTGCCGAACACATGCATGCAGGTGGATTTTCTTTGTTCTTCACCTCTTGCAGATGATGACATATGATGACAACTTGGAAAATATGCAGGTGCTTAAGGAGTAGGAATAGATGGCCTGGATTTGCTAGCATTAAATCTACATAATAGAGTCACAGTCAGCGTTCATTTAGCGATGAATCATGACGCTGGGATGGTTTGACTGACTGGCGCCTGGCGCTTTTTGAACATGTGCTTTTGTTGTTCAAGCGATGTGTCAGCACCTTTGGGATTGTATCTGCAGTCAAGCTGATATGCCCATACGGATTCTCGAACTTGGCGAGAGTCAACTGAAAACATCACCCTGTTTCTTGTATCGTGGCCCAGAATATGCATACAAGCGTATTTTCCCCTTCATTGTTTTAGAAGTTGTTTCACTATTTTGGGTACCTCGATAGAACACCTATACTTTGCTTACTTACTTATAAGTGTTCAGTTCGTCTCCTCCGCAATCGGTGGTTTTTGCCTCGTTTTGAGGGGTCACAGGGTTTAGCATTGCGCATCGCTTCAAACAACCAAGCTTTTCGATGTATCCCTTCTATCCTTTGTGGGGGCTCGTCTTCGGACCGCGAGGCGGATGCAAGTCCCAAAGCTGGCTTCCTGAGGATGGGATTATTGTTGGGGCTCAGAAAGTGGTCTTCTTGGGCCTGTTCGGTGGAACAAAGGGGCCCTTGTTCATCCAGCTCACTGTGTAGTTCTTTCTTATGATTAGAAAAGGTATGATAATGTATGATAAAGTTCGTGTTCTTGCTGGAAGATGTGGAGAATTAATTACTTGGGAATGTGCCCGTGTTTGGTGGCTGGGTCGAGAGGGGTCCTGGGGTTCCTTTCATGCAATGACCCCTTAAAATGTTTTGGGTGTGGTTCTATGGTCACTTTAGTGACCATCATGTCCCCGCACATTATTAGAGGTTTCATTGGTCACCCGCACCTCGTGGCCACCATTGCCCCATGTGGCCATCGGACGCGTAGGAAGGACGAGCTCCGCAAGGAAAATGAGTCGCAGCCTCGGTGTGGCTGCATGGCAGCTCCACAAGCATTTTCCAGATCCCGTGTTGCATGGGAATGATGAACTCAATAGAATGACATATTCTATAATGTTCTCGTCATGTGAGCGACGGACAAAACTATTGGTTGACTTATTTAGTCACGGTATGACCCTAAACCTATGTTGAGGGATTTGTTTCTGTGGAAAACGATATGGTCCCCGCAATCAACGATAATCTTGTTAAGATGTAGGGGGTACAAAGACGGTTACAATATGTTATTGCGTTTACATGTTTATTTGAACATATTTGAGCTAAACTGATGGGCACAACTTTTCATCCCAGACAACTTCCCAAACGATATATAAGCGAACGATAACCTAAATGTCATTCCAGGCACTCTGTAGACCTACTTCTCCGCATTACTAGTGTTTGTTCATGGCCCGAGCTACGAGGTTCCCGCCTATTTATGTGTTGTGATCCTTGCACAGCCCAGTGCCACAAGAACCCAAGTGCATAAATCAAGTGCTGTGCCATTCCTGTGCAGAAAGCACTCTAAGGCTCTAATCTGAGGTTGTGAGTTATATTTTGTGTTTTCGTCTATGTGCCGGTATGCTATGCTAACTACGGTTTGGAGAAACATTGGAGAACGATATGGACCCCACAAAAACGATAATCATGTCAAATGGTATTTGGCTACACAAGTATTGTTGTCCGCTGCTCATGTGTTGCCACTCCTTTTGGGTTTGACAGCATTTTGCATACAATTCTTTGTGTTGTGTGTTGTTTTCCTTTCGCTAGGGGAGTATAGATCGACGAATCTCTGACCTAGTTTCATATTTCGGGTCAGTGGATTGGCACACAAGCTAGTGCAAGTCTATGAGCAACATTCTCATTCTCCAGGCCAGTAGAGCTCATGGCTGACTCTTCATGGATGGTAGAACATAAACATGATCAAGAGAGAAAAGAGGGACACTATTCTTCAATGACTTCCCATCATTGTTGAAAGAGAATCACTTATATAGGTCAAAAGCATTCAAAAGCATTGATATCAACCACCACAGAGCAAGGATCCCACCTCTCGAATTCAAGACATTTCAAGACCGGGTGGACTCGCAGGTCTCAATGAGACAGCACTTTGCAAGGAGGGAGGCAGACCGGCCCGATGCGGGGAGGAGCCAGTT